AATGCAATTAAAATATTTGTGATTATAATCATAGCTTAATGTCAAGTGGCAAAATAATTAATGTCATATATAGAATAATACATAAGGTGAGTAGATGTTGGAAAGGGGTCCACAATTATAGGATTAGTAGGCGAATATAAAATGTTACATAACTCGGTGTGAAATCTGATAAGATAGAATTCAATATTGTAAAAACAAAAAAATAATAATTTTGGATTTAGAATGACAAGTAGGACAAGTGGAAACAATTCAGTAATAATGATAATAATAATAATCGTAGTAATAAGCGAAAAGTACATAGAATAACTAAATAAACAAAATAAATATCTATCCCTATACGGCCAAGGCAGAAGTAGGGATTGTACATACTTCTTTTGTACACAAAGGTCTGGCTTAAAGTCAGGAATTGCCAAGGCCTCAGCTATCTTTAAAAGTCTATAACAAAGAGAACGCGGGAAGTTGGCATGGATTCTATATATAATCTTAAAATCATGGTCAGGGTTGGTGTGGAGTGACAGAAGTCGATCAGGTGTTCCAGAATAGAGCTTCGCACTCACTAACTTTCTCCCTTGTAAAACCACGCTGGAATATGTTCTCATATCCGTGTGGAAAGCGTCCTCTGACTACGACCAATGTACCTTGCTCCACAAGTGCAGGTGAACTGATAGATGCACATGGAGGCTGCCAGACGGGGGAGCCCCTTTCCAAAATCATACACCTTATGTATTATTCTATATATGACATTAATTATTTTGCCACTTGACATTAAACTGTGATTATAATCACAAATATTTTAATTGCATTTCATACTACTATTATTATTTCATGTATTCACACCTTTGATCGAATTCCTTCACCGGATATAACTTCTTAAAAACCACATATATATGCGATTGTACAGTTTGATAATAAATTCTTTGTTGAGATGAGTCTCTTCGCTGAATATTGTGTACTTAATCCGATATTCCTCGGTGATTGGCTACAGGACGGAGTGATTTTAAGTTCTAGTTAGCAATTTTGATCAGGGGAGCTCATCGGGTAAGATTTGAGGACAAATACCCAACAGAGGATTTTTGTCCATTTCATTGACTGATCTGTGATATCAGCGTGGGTCAACACAAAATGATGCTTTTGATTTATATAGAAATGAAATATAGATATTAAATAGACACATGAGGATGTCAAAGCTAGGTTGGATAGGAAAAGCAAGATAGAACTTCATTGATCTGAAATCGGTTTGGAAATCGACTGCACTCCACAGCAAAATCTAGATCTTCAAGAATAATGTCAATTCAGCACTTCTGTATGATTCAGAGATTTAGTAGGCGCGTCAGGAAATGCATTTCCAACTGAAGACTTGTATCAGCAGTTGCACACTTCATCTGATGCTGAATATGAGATGGCTAACGAAGAAACTCTAGTAAGCAGCGTGCCAATCAACAGCGTATCTTCAAAAATATACATAGAGAAATAAATTGGATTGGACATACACGCGTGCCAAGCATTTCCTCAAATGACACCGGAATATAGGGCGACGAGTTGGGAGTCTAAGTGCGACATGGAGTAGATGAATTATTATTTTCATTGTTATTATTATAAAAACACAAACGTGGTATGTTATGGGCACCAGAAGGAGAGCCAGATGAAATCTCATGCTCTGTGAGTGAGCTGGGATACTGCTGGAACTCCGAGTCCGCCGTAAGCAGACATCATAAGAGACCATTGCAGTGAGCTCTCAAATTGAAGTATATTCCGCAAGGAAGTGCAGCAGCGTCAGGAGCTGCGTTCTCGCGGTTTCCAGTGAGCAAAACAGGTTCCTACGCTATCTGGTCCATTCGGATTCTAGGGACCATGCATATCACATGTTTGGAATCAGGGTTTTCCAGCTTCCCTAGGTTAATCGGTTTATCCACCATTTCGGTTGTAAGCGCCAGACATTCACATTCGCCGTTTTACTTTTGTGAAAAACGCCCTGGCTGCTTGAAGGCAGTCAAAAAGACTTACTTGGTAGAGGCTACGAACGTATGGTCACATGAATCCATTTCGAGAAATAAACCAAAGTCTACCCACCCACAGCCGTAATGGGTCGTTTATGGGGTAGGAGAAGATGAAAGCTTATGGGCAATCACGAAGTGAACTAAAAATAACTGCAGACTTCAGGGCAAAGTTAAGATGTTTTGTGGAAGTCCAGTGTTCCACTCGGAATCTAAGGAAATAATAATACAGTAGTATAATATGAATTCTATTCATTATAATAAAGGTTTTTGTATTTCCTAATGAATGAAAAACAAAACGATATTGTTTTTCATTCATTGGGAAATACAAAAACCTTTATTATAATGAATATCATATACCCAATGCCCAAATTTTTTCAAACCGTTAAAAGTGAACTTGGTTTGGACATACATGAATTCTATATTGATTTGTTTAATAGATGTATCTATCACACAGTGATTAAACAGTATTGCTGTTTACTGGATGACAAGGTTTCAAACGCAATTTATTATTGTTCATAATCATGTCATCAGTTATAACCACACGACGTCAAAACTTGAGTTTTACAGTCTTCTTTGTTCTCTCCTATTTGTCTTCGTAGGGGTAGTAGAATTTTCCAGATATCCGTTTAGGACAGGTGTTGAATCATTTATATCACACGTGTTTACCATTGGATTGATAAACAAAGCTTCTGTTATCAATCTCTCCCTCCACTCTGCTGTTACATTAGATTTTAAAAGTGTCATCTTATCCCATGCATCCTATTGGTGTGGTTGTGTGTAATTGCATGTGGTGAGTGCTATAGCTGAACTATTCTCAAAATTTCTTATCTTATTCGGGTCAACTAATCTAGATTTTGCTAGGTTTCTTTGCTCGGCTAGTCTGACTGCACCTTTTCTACTACTATGATCCATGTATTTCACCTGACAATCATTGCAGACAGCGCATGAGATAAACAAAATTGCCTTGTTTTAAAGGCCCCACAGGTTCTTTTAGGCGAAAAAGCTTGTTTCTAATATAGTTTTTGGTTGGTTTGAATGCCAGACACTTTTGTTCCTGCCTTGTAAATAATTCTGCGTAAGGTTTCCGAGGTTCCTTATTTGTAAGGAAGTATTACTGATGATTTAAATTTCCTATTGCTGGTGTCATTATTCTGTGAATGTTTGACATGCATGTCGTCATTAATATTATTATTATTGTCATAATTATTATCATTATTATTATTATCACTATCACTACTATCATTATTTATTTTATTTTTACATTTCCCTACATATTTCCTGACTAATTTATCAGAGTAATTATTAAGTTTCAAAGCTTCTCTTATATGCCTCACTTCCTGTCTTAGATTTTCCATGGTACTACTTAGTTTTTGTGCTCTGTCACTTAAACATTTCACCAATACCATTTTCACTGACATAGGGTGGGATGATCGGAAGTCCAAATATTTGTTTGAATGTGTGGGTTTCCTGTAAACACTAGTGTTTAACTTCCCATCTTCTTTCCTTTTTACGCTGCAATCTAACATTGGAAGCTCCCCTTCGTGAATTCTCAATTTATAAGTGAATTGAACTGCCTCCACCTTTTGAGTTAATGTGTTCAACACCTTTCGCAGACAGATATCTGGAAAATACTACTACCTCTATGAAGACAAATAGGAGAAAACAAAGAAAACTATAAAACTCAAGTTTCAAAGTCGTGTGATTATAATTGATATGATTATGAAAAATAAATTTTGTTTGAGACGTCATCCAGTAAATAATACTGTTCCACTGTGTGATATATCTAATTAACAAAGCAATATGGAATTACTAACTACCATAGTGCCCAAGTTTTACACATATATTAGGTATAATATGACACTATGGAGTATCTCTTCAAAAAATAAGTTCGTGGGTCTCTACTTTTGTGGTAAATTACCAGATTATTTCCATTTCTCTTTAGCAATCAAGGTAGTAATTATGAGAATGTATCACTGTATGAGTGCGTCAGTGGTATAGCGGTTAGGATGCTCGCCGACCACGTACATGATCCGGGGTTCGATCCTCGGCCGACGCACTCCTTTACCTCGCTGAGCCAGAAATAATGCTGGTAAAGAGGAAAGGTTGGGAATGAGGCTAGCAACCCCATCCTGTAAAATATACACTACTACAGAAACTTCAAGCCACTAGCTTGAAGCCCTATTTTCCACCGGGGAACGCGAAGGAAAAAAATCAGTATGTGAAAGTTAACGTCCCAGACTGCAGCACTGGATAAATCTGTTTCAAATCTACAAGTGACCATCAGTTCTTTAGAGCTTGATGATACGCCTTAGTGACGATTGTTAGTAAACACGAAACTTGAGTCTAGAGCACCCTGACAATTGCTAAGTAATTTAATGCATTGTTCCAAATATTATAAACTGGACATTCATTCACATAATAATAATGCTTTACTAAGTTATGACTAATTGAAAGCTTTATTTCAGGTTATATACCATTTTGACAAAAACCATTCAGGTGACATTTAGGTCTTAATTAGTTAATTTGGATAACTAGTCCTTCTATCATATGGACTGTGATATAATCACTAACCAATCTGAGTTTGTAGTATTGACAAAAAAGTTTCGTGACTTATATAGTTGTAAAATACCCAAAATTCAGTTTGTTTGGTTTCTTCAAATAAAGTTAAGATGTAATCTGGAGAATGGCGCCAATGTTTGTGGCTACATTTGTGTGATTTTCTTTCCACATGACAAATAAATGGAACCTCTTGGGAATATGAAAGTCTAGGTGACTCATAGTTGAGTTATTCTTAAGTGGTTTTCTGTGTATATTCTTAGGAACATATATGGGACATGTAACTTTCTTCCTGTTTTTGTTTTAATTTGTTTATTATGGTTCATCAATCAAGATCCTTTTGTTATGTTAGAGCATGTTATTAAAAGGATTAAGCAAGGCTCATATATATATATACTTCCTAAGCTTCTAATCATATAATACTTGATTTACGGCATATATTTCAATATGGATTTGTCATCGCTTTGCTTACGACTAATTCAAGGTAAGTCAAGGTAAGCACGCAGCATCACATCCTGTTCCTTCTGCAAAACAACATGAGAAAAAATATCCAATTAGTCGAGAAATAAAGATAATGTGTTATTATTGAGCTTTCTTGCCTGATCATACGGATTATTAGCATGAGACACAGGTTTTAACTTCATTCGATGGGGTTAGTTATATATAAGAAGCTGTATTATATTACCAGGAACCGATTGCGCAACAAATATGCAGGAAGAAATGGAGGTGGATTGGCCATAATGTGAGAAAACGAACCTTCAAGTAACATCACACGCCAGGCCATCTCTCGAATAGAACCTGAACGGGAAGCGGCAAATCGGTCGTCAGTGCGAGAGTGGGGTGAAATGGAGGAGGTTATATGAAGAGGAGATGACAGCGTGTGGGCAGATGTGGAGCCAGGTGAGAACGTTGGCAGAGGACCGAACGCTATGGATACGTGCAGCTGAAGCCTTATGTTCCTCTAGGAACTAATGGAAACAATAGTAATAATTATATTAGTTGGTGGATGGGGACTGTCACTGGTGGAATCCAGGAAGCACATTTCGCCCTATTTAAGATTCGGCATCTCTCGGCACCTGCAATCCCCAGTGAGTGATTGTGTATCCAAGAAGACTCAAACCTAGCACTCATCATTTTAAATGGCAAAGCATTGTCGACTAGGTAACTTTTCAGGATACACTACTAATCACCATCCACCAGACGTCGTCGAAGCGTTAGTACTAGGAGCTGGCGTATCAACAGGAACGCAACATTTAGGTCCACATAGACCGACCAATCAGAAAGACAAATTTTTCGTAAAGAAAGAAGGTCTATTAATATGCAGGCAGTAAATTTTATGACCGGTGCAATAATACAGCACATACAGATATTCCGTGTAGTGAGATAAGGTATCAAAGAATTTCTTATTCTACACTCTAGAAAGAAAATGCCTCAGTTCTTACTAAGTGTACTAATGTTGTGGACTATACTTTGAATGCAGATTCCGTCACGAACCAACATGATTTTGAAATTCTTAAAAACCTGGGAACACTGGATATCTGTTTTGTTGTAGTTTGGATCTCTTCAGCAGTGCTCACCCAGGAAGTCAAGGAAATTAAAATTCATGGGTCACTGGATTCCAACACAAGTGTTGAATGATCAGCAAAGTTGGCCTCGTAATCTAAAGATTCTGGGGTTATGGGTTAGCGCTGATGAGGGGTCACAGACTAGGACGAAACAGCTGTCCAGGACCTTCTGATATTTAACGATTCCTTAACTAATTTTGGTTTATGGTGAGATGTGCACTGAAATTATTCTCAATCCCTAGTGGAATTTGTAATTTAAATAAATTATGAGAGCGGCAAATAAAAGTCTAGAATTGTTTTAATCAAAATAAACAAAGCATAGACAGACTGGAACCGATTGTGAAACAAATAGGCAGAAAGAAATGGAGATGGATCAGCCATACTCTGAGGAAACCATCAAGTGACATCACTAGACAAGCCATTGCTGGAGTGGAACCCGAAAGGGAAGCGGCGGGTTGGTCGTCCAAGGGTGACTTGGAA